ATGACCATTTACTACAGGATTTCCCCTGTATTATATCCAACTATTGTATTGTATTATATCAGGCAAGTAGGGTTAAAATAAGTAGGGATAAAATAAAATCAGTCATGCACAACCTCACTAAATATGGTCCTTGATATTCACTTAGAGCCATACAAAGATGCCAATCTCTCATGTCTAACAAAGAGCAAAACATTTTGGATTCTATTTTATTTTAGTCTGAAAACTCCTGTGAATACAGTTAAGCAAAACTGCGTAGAAGGTATGCATTGCTAACATTTATGATTTGTAGTAATTTTGTTCTATAAGTGGCTGTGTTCTCAAAACTCAGATCACAAACAACTTTGCTTTCTCAAAATTCAGATCACCATAACTTCAGTGCATCAATATCTGACCATGGTTTAAGTTTGCCAAATTAGGGACTGCTTATTTTAAAGGCCATGCCTAAATCTGTAAGTCAAGTCTGGGTGAAGCTTCTAGAATGTATCTATTCATTTAAGAACATGAAAACATTTCAGCACCATACCCAGGGGCCTTTTAAACAAACAAATCACCACCAACAACCTAAAAAAGTATGTCTTTCATTAAATATTTGTTACCAATAGGAGAGAACAAAAAGAAAAATAGGTCACTACTTGGTTTGACCTCTGATATGAATATATGTAGCTAAGTGACTTAAAGATTTTGTTACTCCATGTAACCATAAAAGATCCGTGAGCATTCATTCATCATGGGGGTTACATGAAAAGCTTCTCAAGCAAATACATTTAAAATGTGGAAACCACAAATAGTGAGCATGACTGTTATATTTATTGTATTTGTTGATTTTTTTATACCTAACATGTACTTACAAAACAATTGCATTTTAAACAATAACAGCACAGTTGACAATTAAGGCAGAATAGTCTAAGTTACATGAACTCTATAATAAGTTTTTATAGTTTCTCAGAAAAAAAGTAGCTCCTATTTGGCAGTTCTTCAAGACAGTACATGATAATTAGAAGATAAAAAATAATGTAGATGGATGATTTTCCTCCAATATTGAGTTTCCCTAGACTATTCACATTATGAAATGTCATTCAATGCAGGCATAAAGTAGATCTGAAACTCTAACATGAGTGTTCTGCAAAACTTCATGAAGCAATTATTTATCAATAATCTCATCAGGAAAGGCAAGTCTTCACAAAAGAAAACTAGTCTCTTGGATAAAAATCAGCATGAATAATCTATGCCATCAAATCCACCATAACATCAAAGGTTTGCCAACCAACTTCCTAAAAAATCCTCAAAGAAACTCTGCATCAATTTGATGAAACATAAAAAATGATCAGAAAGCAAGTTTCTATCCATCAACTTTATCATACAGGGGCATCCAGGCTTTAGACATTGTGACATGGACATGTTGTGATCCACAAATGTGTTGGGCTTCAGTTCCTATGTACCGTAGGATGCATGCGACCCATATGCTACTATCGGTTGAAAACATTTGATTTTTTTCACCCTTGATTGAAAATGACTTTGTAATTTCCATCACATGATCAAGACATCAGCTGATTAAAAGCCCAGGGTCTGTAACAACTACTATGCCTTCAGAAATCACAAGTAGCCCTAACTCCTGCCTGTGTCCCATTCACAGAATATTCAATAGCAGCAGACTGGTTTGAAATCAACAGGACATCAGCAGTATACACCTAAGTACCCAAAGTAAAGGCTTGATGTCATATTGGGTAAAGTCAAAATTAAGCTATATTTAATGTTTTGTGGTTTGGGACATTGGGGTTCAGCCAATGTAACTTAATAAGGAGCTGTTGAAGCATATTATTTTTTAAAAGAAGAATAATACACTGCATTTCATTAAGCATTTTTCATAAAGTACAATCAAAGCTTACTCTTATAGCAATTCATTGTTTTGAGCAACAACTAATAGTATTTAGTTTCCTGCAAAAAAAAAAAAATGTTATTCAAAACCTTTACTGAGAAGTGTATTAACTCTGCTTTCTGATACTCAAGTGCCAAACCGCACATTTCCCCATCGCTTTAGTTCCTTTCAAATGAAACTAGGTATGACTAAGTCATTAGTCAAGAAACGCTGTCATCTGTTTCCACAATTTTCCCCTTCTTTGAGATGAACTATTTCTTAAAAGTTACGTGTGTGTGTGTGTGTGTGTGTGTGTGTGTGTGTGTGTGTAGCAACAATGTCTTGTCTGATCTCTTAATAACTAGAATTAAAAATATATTACCTAGGTAAAAGCAATTACCATTGTAACCAATGGTTTTTTTTCTTTGTGTAACGCACTGAACATTATTGAATTGGCAACAAACATACATTTCAAGTTCAAAACATTTTTCTTACCATCTTTCTCACAAAATTAAATGTGTGCCTACAGTTGCTATGTTACCGGCATGATCTTTACCTTGGCATAGCAATGTTGTTTAAATAAATTACTTTCTGCAAAAATGTTTGCCGAAACCTTAAAATATATTTCCAAAAGCAATAATCCCTACAAGAAAAAAAATAAGTGGCTTTCATGTGGAGTTTTTTGTTTGTTTGTTTTGGTTATAATTTTATGCATGTGTGTGTGTGTGTGTGTGTGTATTGTTGTGTGTATGTGTGCCTGTGTGTGTGTTGTGTGTGTATGCGTATGTGTATATTGTGTATGTATGGCGTGTGTGTGTGGTGTCGACCAGAGGTAATGTCAGGTGTCTTCCTCAACTGTTCTCCAATTTACTACCTAGACGGGGTCTCTCACTGTGCCTGGACCTGACCAATTCAACTATACTGGCTGGCTGACAAGTCCTATGGGTCCTCCTGTCTGCATTGGAAGGCATGTGCTTCACTATGTAGGTCTTTCTGTGAGTGCTAGGATCAAACTCAGATGATACTTGCACAGTAGAGGTGATTTACCCACTGAGACATCTCTCCCATTTATTTTTACTCTTTGATTATCTACAAGTTCACTAAAAGTGGCATTTGTGAATTAAAAAAAAATGCTCAGTAGCATCAATGCAGCTTCAGAACACAGAATGATACCATACAAACAATACAAAGTGTACAATGAAACACATAGCAGCGGGAGACATGGAGACTGAAGCGGCTACCTTCTAGCCAGGCAGGACTTCTAGTGGAGGGGGAGGAACACCAACCCACCCACAAAACCTTGATCCAAAATTTACCCTGCCTACAAGAAGTGTACAGATAATGAGGAAGCAGAGACCGAAGGAATGTTCAACCTACTACTGTCCCAACCTGAGACCTAGCCCATGGAAGAAAGCCAGCCACTGACATTATTAATGATACTCTGCTATGCTGGCAGATAGGAGCCTAGCATAACTGTCCTCTGCAAGGCTCTACCTATCAGCAGATAAAAAGGATGCTGAGACTTTCAGCCAAACATGGGGCAGAACTCAGGGGGCCTTGTGGAAGTGTGTGTGTGTGTGTGTGTGTGTGTGTGTATACACGCGTGTGCACGTGAATGCATGCATACAGGGTTGGGAATAGAAGGAGCCATAGAAGGACACAGAGTGGACAAGAATTCCACAAGAAAACTAACAGAGTCAACTATTCTAGACCCATGGGGGCTTACAGAGACTGAAGCACAAACCAAAAAACATGCACAATCTGGACCTAGGCTCCCTACACATATGTAATGATGGGAAGCTTGGCCTTCATGGGGGTTCCCTAGCAAGTGGAGCAGGGGTTGTTTCTAACACGGACTCTGTTCCCTGTTACTGAATCACTTCCCACTCATGGGGCTCCCTTGCCTGGCCTCAGAAGAAGTCTCCTGTTGAGACTTATGTGCAGAGGCGGGTTGATATGGGAGTTGGGGGGAGGCTCCCCTTCTCTGAAAAGAAAGGTAGGGGGGGAAAGGTAGAGGGACCAGGAGGAGAGGAGGAAGGGGGCTGTGGTCAGGATGTAAAGTGAATAAATAATAAACATAACAAAAAAGAAATATTTTTATGAACATTACAAGCTTCTCACTTTGATAAAGTCCACTTATCATTGTACAGATGAGTAATTATGGGACAGTGGTGCAAAAGGAACAAAAACATGCAAATGAAAGCTGAGTTTCATGGTATTTTTCAAACATATTGCAAACGAGAAAAAAGATCTGCATCATACCATCATGCACCAAAGTCTGATAAAGTCTTAGTCCCTAAATAGTATTTTGGGTTGGCTGATTTAAAGCAGAGATGCCACACCCACACACCACAAGCTTCTTAAAATTTTAGTTTACTTTTCACCAAGGCAGTCAAATTCTCAAAGGAAGTCACTTCACTCTTTGAAAATGCCGTAGATTCGTTTCTTGAAAGATGCAATCTGACCATTTTAGCTCTGCAAATGATGTTCCCCGAGTCCCAAACCACCGAGTTCCTGCCAAGCCACTCTTCCAACAAGTCGGTTTGGCGCGCCTTCCTGCACCTGCACGCAGCAGATGCTCAGTCCCACCTTCTGCATCAGCCTGAGCAACCTTCTCAGGGGAGCACACTAAACATGTTCCTTCTGGACATAGGTCTGCCTCTTCCAGTGCAGACCAGATACAGCACACCGCAGCCAAAAAGTCACACAAGGTGAATGGATGCAAACAAGCAGAATATGTGCATAGTCTCCAATGATAATCAAAAACAAAATAATTTCGTGAAGTCTCAAAGAGAAGAAAAGTTTTCCAACTTAGATGTCAACCTAAGTTGAATCCAACCTTACCTAGAATCCTAGGAAAAATGACATTTGTGTCTTTTTAAAAACTGAAATAAAATTAGCATTCAATAAAATGATGCATAGTTCTTCAGTGTTCAGAAAAAAGAATTTTCATAATTGTAAATATTTGGATGGCCAGTACAAAAGACAGTGTGAGAACACACAAGGATCTTTTGCATCTCCGCATCCGTTTCTTTCTCCCTTGAGCAGGCAACTATTTTATTTTCTGAGTTTCTAAGTTCATGGAGTATTTTGTCTGCCTTTAGACTTCACGGTGTTCGAATCGTCGCACATGCAGACTTGATACCTGGCCTTGGTGACAGTCTCCCCCATCAGTTGTCTCCTCTCACTGCAGCGTGGCAACGTCATCGCATAAACAGAAGACAGTTCACAATTTTCTCTATCTTCTATATGAAATATCAGCTTCAATCTTTTGCCCATGTATAAAATTAGACCCTTCATGTTTTTATTTATTATTTATAGGATTTCTTTAAATAGTTGTCACAAAATTCATTTTTTTAGAGAAAGGAAAAGAAAGGGAGAGAGAGAGGGGGAAGGGCAGGAGGGGGGAGGGAGGGATGCACCAGCACATATCTGTACCCCTCCCTATAATTACACCATGGAGTGACAACATAGTTTGCTCAGTTAATACGAACTTACTCATCCTGATAGCTGGAGCATGGACAGTCCTTTCCAACATTTACTTCCCCACAGATCCTGGCCTACTGATTGACCTCAGTCACCACAACCTGGTCACACAATGTTAACACACAAAGACGGTGCCCTTTCTAGCAGTCAGTTCCTCTGTATCCCTCTCAGCCTTTCAATACCATCGTATTATTGTGTCTTCACTCACTCAAAAGCAAAAAAAAAAAAAAAAAAAAAAAAAAAAAAAAAAAAACCTGTTGCACTGCTATCATGTGTCAACTCCTCTGCTAGAGGGCAGGTTCCTCACATCATGACACTTCCTTTCTAGAGATAAAAATGTCTATCTGTAGCTAGACAATGATCTGATTGACAGTAATTTCTGCCTTATTTAGCACCACTGTAAATGATTTTTTTCAGAATTTCCTAAGTATTTTTAATCAATATGTCAAAAAATATATAGTAAAGCCTTGTTTATTAGACACTCATGAAAAAAATGTTTTAAATAAATTAATATAACTTTCACAGATACCATTTCCATTTGTTGGAATGTAAAATCCCCAAAACACTAAAGTATGAGGGAAGGTAAGGAAAACGGGGAGAAAGGGATAATGAGAAAGAGCAGGGATAGAGAGAAGGGGGAGAAATAGAGAAAAAGGGAAAAGAAGAATATATACATATATCTCATTATATATATATGTATATGTATGTATAAATACATACATACATAGCACACATATACACCCATAGAGAAAGAACATAGAATATGGATAAGAATGAGAATCCAGGAGCCTCATTCATCCATATTCCATATTAAACAAGTGCGGTTTATTCCATCAGCAATTCCTTGATGTCCTGACAACACAGAACAATGGTACCAGTCATGTGTGGTCATACAAAAATGACCTGTGAATCACCAGTTGATATCAATGCTGGAGCCTAGTGGGCTGCAGAAGGGGGAGTTAGGACACTCACCGTCTTTAGGACAAAGGCAGCTATCTATGGAATCAGAACAAACCTCAGCTTTATAAGTTGTGCTCCGCTCAGTACTGAAGACAATGGAAGTCAGTGAGAAAAAGGACTCCTTATGTACAACTCTAGTCTCAATGGTGAAGTAGGAAGGAACAAAGGTGACAGTGTATGACATATTATAAAAATGGATGCTTCTCCTGAGTTCCAAAATCATGAACAGCAAGCTGGTAGCTGTCACAGTGGTCTTCAGAACGTTTAAAGATAATCATCAAACACTTCAAGGCCCTTTCTAATTTAAATCTGAAACTGGAGTTATAATTACCATCTGTTTAAAAGGCAATGTATTCACATACAGAGTTCTCAAACCTTTCACGTCTAAAGATTTCTGTGCACTGGCATATGTGCTGGCTTCTTCCATTCCTGTCTACGCGTGTATGTGCATGTGTGTGTTTGTTGCATAAATACATTTTAAAAAACAAAAGAGTCAGCAAACAGTCTTGCATTCCTGAATGTTACATCCAATAAGAAGAGAACAGCCTAGTTTATTTAACCCCACAAGTCACAGAACACTGAGGGGAGCTCAGGGACACAACTCTATGAAACACTGAGCAGGAAAAAAAAAAAAAAAAAAAGGACTTGGTACGGCCATACCCTGGAATAAAAGGAAGTGAAGACCTAATGCAAATGCAACACAGAGCCACCCTGAAAACACGCTAAGTGAAAGCAGCCTGGCGGGAATGGCCACACACTGTGTGATTCTATTTCTACAGAATGTCTAGACTCAAATCCAGAGAACAACAACAGATGGGTAGTTTCTTACAACAGAAGAAAGAGGACGAGGATGGGGTGGAGGAAATGGAAAGGGCTGTTGCTGGGCACAGAGTTTCTGAGTTGATGAAACTGCTCCAAAGTTGGGTAGTGCCTGGATACTTAGGAAAGATACTAGAAGCTACTAGATTTTAAGATGAATTGGAAAGTATCTGCATGACATCTGTACAAAGCACTATAGTGCTGGATAGTTTTATGTTAACTTGAAGCAGGCCAGAGTCATCTGAGACAAGGGAGCCTCAACTGAGAAAATGCCTCCCTAAGATTTAGTCTGTATGCAAGCCTGTAGAACATTTCCCTGGTGTGGAAGGGCCTAGCCCACTGTGATTGGGTCGGTTCCTGCATTCTATAAGAAAGCAGCTGAGCAAGCCATGAGAAGCAAGGCAATGAGCAGAACTCCTCTGTGTCCTCTGCATCAGCTCCTGCCTCCATGTTCTGCCCTGCTTCAGTTCCTGCCCTCACTGCTTTTGATGTTGACCTTTTATATGGAACCGTGAGAGAAACAAATCTTTTCCTCCCCAAGTTGTTTTTGGTCTCAGCGTTTCATCACAGCAGAAGTTAAGCCTAACTAGGAGCCTGCTTTACGGCAACAAATGACTCCGCATTTGGGTAGAGATGGAGGGCGTGATATGAGTATTTCCCACATTTGTAAATTGTACACTGTGAGGGTGAAAAGGGCAGTGATCCAGGAGAAAGAACTCTCCCTCTGAGTTCAGCACCACAGACTGGGTGCAGCGTACCTCAGCCAACCAGTAGAGCCAACAAAATGTGACAATGTGTGGCAGTTGCTCACATGTTTTACACCTACAGCTTAGGACAATATCCTTGGTAATGAACATACAGGGAGTACAGTTTTTAACACGATTATCAGCTTAGGACAATATCCTTGGTAATGAATATACAGGGAGTACAGTTTTTAACAGGTTTATCTCCAAAGATTGAAAAGAAAAAATAATGAAATGTTACTTTTATCAGCAAGACATCAGAGGCAATGCTTTGGGTGTCATATCACTGATTGACAGAGATTCCGGTGAACTATAACATATAAAATCATGTGCCAGAGCATTTTTGAGCTTCATGCAATAGAAGAAAGAGAGAGGGGGAAAAAAAGAAATGAAATGGGAAGGATTTGTCATGTCAAATCAGGAAGTTATGTGGTGGAAACTACCTGGTTGATTCAGCAGTTCACATTGACCTCAGGGGTCCCAAGCTTTTCAACCATCTTACCTTGCATCTGTGTGTCTCCTAGTGTGTCTAAGCTAGCAACAGCCTATCTAGAAGCCAGTGACTAGCAGAATGGCCCCCTGCTGGGAGGGGACAAAACAGAGAAGGGGAAGGAGCTAATGGGATGTTTCCCTAGTTTGTCCTTATAATAATAATAATAGCCTTTGAAAATGTCCTCTACCCAGCTTCACTGTAGACCCTGATGTCAGTATTCCATTACAAGTCCATATTTAAAACAATACCCAGTAAAGGGCATGAGACCTTCATGAACAGCCCATGCTGCTCCTGATTTGCCTATAGAGCTGGACAAGACAGGTCATCTCCTGTCATGTTAACTGGAGAGTAAAACACTGAACAAAGCCAGAAAGGAAAGACAGGAGGGGTTCTAAGCCTCACTTAAACTGGGGTGATCACACTGACAGAGGTAGAAGTACTAAACCCAACACAGGAAAACAATAAAGGTGTTTTTATTAGGTGTTTATATAAAGTAGCTTATATAAAGGTGTTTATATAAAGTAGCTTAAGTTAGAGGAGGCTCCAATAAGATATCTCTCTCTGTTCAATGATTGACTATGGAACCAGGAAAACCACAGCTCTCAAACAACATGTTTCACCAACTCACAATACTACTCAGTAAATCACTACACTTCTCAGGAAAAGGCTGAAACATCTATGGCTCAGACTCTACTCTTCAGTTAGAAGACTGAGCTAGCTAATCTAAAATTCCATATATGCCTTCTCAGGTTTGGCTGAGTCACACATGTCGAAAACTTGCCCATGACCTCCTCCCTTCTCCTTAGCATATCTGCCAAGTCAAATTTAAAGCCTACAATTAATACTTGTAAATACCGAGAAAAGAAACAAACAATAATTATCATACATGAAAGAGCCTTTTCGTGACTGACACAATATAGCGAAGAAAGTAAATTCAGTCTAGAGTCAATTCTAAACACAACCGTTAGCTTCTGTTTCTCTCATATTCTTCACTCCCAGGTCTGCTCTGATCAACACATGCAAATGTTCCCAGGTCTAAGTACAAGAACAGACTCTGGCTCTAGACCCGGCCAGACTTTACCAAATGAATACCAGTACCTAAGCATTCCTACTGCTTCTCTTTGCTGTTGTTCTCAGGGCATCATGAACAAGCAGAAGGAGCAGTCGGACAAAGGCGACACAGGAAAGTGAGAAGTTACTTTCAATCACAGGCAACTTCTTCCTCTCACTTCCCCTCTGACCTGTTTTTATGCAGTTACTAGTATCGATTATTACGCAAATGAATATAATCTAAAGCTAAATTCACCTGACTCTCTGAATGGAATTTCCGTCAGCTCCAAGTGTGGTTATAAGGCTTCTATACAAGGACAGCAATGTGCCAGTTGGGTGTGCTCTCAATGGCACATTAGAAAATCACTTTAATGGCTGAGGCTTTGAAAGGTGAGACTAAAGGGACCTAGATTTAAAGAGTCCATGATGGCTCTACTTCACCTTAGCCATCTCTGTCTTTTTCAACTACAAGTTTTGCAGCAAACTATTACACACAATGAAGCACAGCTGGATTGAAAGGCAAAATTGGTGACCCAAAGCAGCAGATATCAAATACTGTAATTACTTTTGCTTCCAGATGGAAGGTAGAGAGACACTCCATGCAGATCATGCCTAGAAAATGTATGCAGGTACCAGGAGATCCTACCTTAGTGTCT